ATACAATGTGGAAGCTGGTGAAACCATCCTTGTAAGACTGCTATCTTCATGCCTGATGCTAGAGTTTGGAGTATGCAGGGCAAGCAGTTGGGACAGGAAGGTGGATGGAAAGAGAGAGAGTGATGACAAGTCAGGACTCATGAGAGTAGATTAGAACCCATGTCAGTCTGCTTCCAACTTCTGTGATGTGGGTGTCCAACAAAAGCCAATGCTCTTTGTCATGGAGATAAACACATCTGGCCCAGGAACTGGAGTTTAAGGAAAACGCAGGGTCAAGAAGATCCACCTGCAGGCCTGGGTACTGCCCCACATCAATAAGCCAACAGACAAATGGTAACAGGGTTGTTTCAACAGTGCCGGGCACCTCCCAACCTTTTAAGCCTAAGAACGATAGAGCTGCTGCTTCACTCCTGGCCTCCAAATCTCAGACCAAGTGTTTTTGTGGTCCACCCTGTGATCTTCTTGCTTCTCCCCTCCAGAATCTCAAGGATTGGCGTCTGGAATTTTCGAACTTACTGGTGAAAGGAATCAGAGAACTCAAACTATCATTTTCAGACAAAGAAAAGGAAGTCCAAAGGGGCTGAAAATTGTCCACGATCAATGACAATGGCAGAGCCAAGGCAGACCTCTTGCTTCCTTTCAACACTCTCCCCAAGCCTGTTTCTGTACATTGGCACAGTCAGTCCTACTTCTTATGTACTTATTTTTAGTGGCTATATGCAAGGCTTTTAGGCCAAACTGCACCTTTGCTAGTTCTTGCTATATCACTGTGAGCAAATCATTTTACCATTTGGTCCTGTCTTCTGTCTAATATCTATATAATGGGAATAATAACGGTATCATCACAGGGTTGGTGGGAGAAACCAAGGAGGCAATGTATGGGGAGTACAGATGCCTAGCAGACTAGAAGCACTCAGCACATGCATCATCAGATACTCTTTAGGCTAAACTTGGAGCATAAACACCAGGATTTCCTTAAAGAGAAGCTATACCAACATCTCTTTGTTGGGGGACAGAGGACACTGCAGACTGGTTCCTTTATTGAGAAAACATTTTGGCTCTGCTGACTCTGAATCTTGAACTCAGGGTCTCTTCCGCTTCCTACCTTCTGCTGGGTTACCTGAGTTGTTTGCAGTTCTCGTTCCCCCAGCCCTGCTCTTCTGCTCTTGGGACCCTCCTTCTGAACCAAAGCAACGCAGACAAGACGGCTCTTTGTGGAGTGCCTTACCATCCAGGGCACCCAAGGGGGATGATGTAGTAAGGAAAGCAAACAGGACCCCTACAGGCTCCCACAGCTGCTCCTCTTTTTTCCTTCCCCCAGAGAAACTAGCCCTCAAACCTGGCTGCTCAATGGAATCATCTGGGAGTTTGGGGTGGTGGGCGCAAAGGCATCACTCCAAACAAATCAGAAATTCTAGGGTGGCGCTCATGTATTGAAATTTTTCAAAAGCTCCCCAAGGGACTCTCAAATGCATCCCTGAGGTTGAACACGACCAGTCTTAACAATTCTACTTACAGCAATGCTGCTTAAAAATAAAGGCCAGTGTGTATACAAACATAACAGCCTGAGCTGTAAGGAGTACCAGTACACACAAAGGAACCATCTCCCGAGGTTTCGAACACCTATATATGGACACCATTTACGCCATTTGACTTGGCAAATGCTTTCTGTACAGTAGAACATGGTGACAGTAACTCAGATTTTTTAAGTTACAGAGGGATCTCTTGTGTATACAAACTGCCTTTATGGTGCTGCACAACACTATCCATTCTATTTAAGTGGAGGCTAAAATTTCAGTTTCCTCCCTGAATTATTTATTTGTCAAACAATGGATGGTGAAATCCAGGAGGTGGTGGTGATGGTGTGGGTGGATTGGTCAGGAGAGATGTCTGGTGACTTTAAACCACTGCTACAGTGGCTACAGTATCACTTCTATAAATGACTTCCATAAATGAAATGGCCATCATAGAGCAATCATCTCTCTCAGGTCACGTGGTAAATTTATTATTCCCCTTAACTTCAAATACCTCATTTTACCCTCCTTGGTAATTTGTGTCTGCATACCAAATGAGCAAAGCACTCCAAGCTGGGCTGTTTGTATACACGCTCTGGGTGCATTATGAGGCACTGCGGCTGAGGTCAAGTGCCTTTTAACAGGCACAAGTGTGGGCAAATCTGACTACATTTCCTTAAGTTATTGCTTTTATAAAACATGCTCCACTTCTGTACCCACCAGTAATTATCCATGACTTGGACATTTATACCCTGCCCTCCCACTGGTGCCTCCAGGAGCACCTTGCATGGGTCACTGTTCATTTTACTCTATCTCATCTCCTTCCCAATCCCAGCCTAATGCAGAGCATGTATTTCTGTTGGACCAAAGTTTAATCTATAACTGAACGCCATAGTTGGGCCATGAGTATACCAAAAGGAGTTGGAAAACACAAGAAAAAACTTTCTGGGCTAAGCATGGAGGCTGGAGAGTAAACTTTTACATGTAAATAAAACAAATTCCTCACCAAATAATTTTGTCATAAAACAAATCAAATGGTAAGCTAAATTAATGACCTACTAAGCTCTGGTAGCGTAGTGCCTAAGGCACTTGACTGCTAACCAGAAGGCTGGCGGGTTCAAACCCACCAGCCACTCCTCTGAAGGAAGGCTGGGCAATCTACTTTCGTAGTGATACCACCTCGGAAACCCAAGAAAGGGCTGCTATGAGTTGGATCCGATTCGATGGCAAACAACAACAACAAGTACCTTGTACTTTAGCTCAATAATACAGAACTCCTAATCCATGCCAGTTTTCTTGTTTCCACTTTTAATTCTGCCATTTTCTTTTAAAACGTAGGTTTTAACAAAGACAACAGAGCTACTGTTCGCCAAATCTCAGCTATGAATTCACAGCATAGAAAGTCAAAGCTACGGTAAAAAAATGTCAATCTGTACAACTAATTTTAGAAAATAATTTAGTACATTTTTGTTAAAAAATTCATTTACAGGAGAGTATTCACATGTACTTATCAAATTTGCTCCTGATAATATAAGCAAACATGTAATTAAACAAAATATGCACAATAAATCCAAGGCAAATTATATACAAAAAAGAAAACAGTCGAATGAATATACTCATGTTGAAATAAGTAATACTGAAAGAAGACAGGGCACTTTTTTTTTTGATGCCATGGCAAGGACACAAAGCAAACAGCCACATTTTTTTACCTTGCGGTAAGATTTACCACCTTCCAACAATACTGCTATGGCAGCCAAATCAAGAAAGGATACAACATACATAAGGAAAGTATTTTGTAAATACTTTTGCCAACTGGAACAACAGAGTTTCTAATTTGTTATGTCAGGTACAACTGTATTCTGCTGAGAGAGGCTGTCAGAGGACACTGGCTTGTTCACTCAAAAGGATTATGCATCTCTCTACTGAATTATTGCAGAACCAGACTAGGCAGATGAGTGATGAGAACAACAGGTGAACAAAAATCATGGGAAGAGGCATCAGACTTACATGGAAATAATATGGTTCACTGTGTGGCAGCAAAGTATGCATTCTGGGAAAATTTTCTCAATTCATGTGTTCATATGAGCCGAGTAGGAGACCCTCTGGACCCCAAATGGCTTTGCCATGCCTCCTTTGGAAGCTTAGAGTGTTTTTAGACTAAGTTGTCACCAGCACACCTCTCTACTAAATCAAGGGCTCCACAAAGGTAGTAGGCAAGTAAACAAAATAACAAAGAAACTGCTTGCCAAAAGCACACAGAGGAAGCGAGAAACCTTGGAGAGCCCTTGACCCAGAGTTAGTGGGGACTCAGTCTCCATCCTGCACTTTGTTACACTGGCACCACCGAGGAAAAATTCCATACACCCACAAATAGGAAGCACAAGCTGACTCTGAGGGGAATAAAGAGCTCTAAGAAGCCACATGCTCCCCCGACCCAAGCTATAGGAGTGTTCACTCGACATCAGTCAGATGTCTGGACACCAGTAGGAGATACACATAAGGTTAATGAAATAGAATGTCTAAACTTATGGTAACCAAAAGTTATTTTGTTAAAGCTCTTCATAACCTGCTTCTGTAGAATTTTCATTAACACAAAATCCTTTTTGCTTAAAAAAGCAGAAGACAAAAAAAGCTTCAAATAATGCACATTAACGTTCAGGAATTTGTTTTCCTACTTCCAATTAGCTAATGGGTTGAACAGCATTCAATACAAACCATTATTTATCATAACTGTCATTGTTCCTAATATACATTCACATGTTTGTAATACTTCACAAGTTCCTTCCGTATGGAAGTCTGGAAAACTGAACCTTGAAGTTTTGTCCCAAGCTTCTTAAACCATCCACCACAGCCACTTTCCTTTCATAAAAGCACAATCACCTCTAACACTAAAACTCCTATCAGATATCCCATCCTGTAAGAGCAGAGTCATCAGTAAAATGACTTCTGAAGATCATCAGAAATTTGTCAACTCTCTTCTTAGTCCAGAACCCCAAATATTCATACTCCTTTTTACTACCCTTTCTCCAAGTCTTAACAAGCAACTAAGCTACCACTTAGCAATCAATGACTGACAGATCAGCTCATAAAAGGCTAGAGGCATTTGGGTGAGATTCCCAACAAGAATTAAGAATTTTAGATAGAGAACTAGGTGCTTATTAAAATAGGCAGATCACAGAAATTTACCATCCTATGCCAAGGTGCCTCGTTTAAAAATGTACATCAGCCCAACTTTACCTAACATAACTGGACCTCCAAAGTTTTCCCCAGGAAGACTCCAGTTTTTTTTTTTAAATAGAGACTTCTGACCCACTAGCATGAACTCAAGCTTAGTCCAAATAACTTAGGCTGTTAAAGAAATCTATCTTGCCATAACAATGGTTGAAAGGACTTGCCCTCCCCTTGCTAGTTTTCTTTAATACAAAGTTTGTTTTGTTGAAAAATGATTAACATTTTAAGCAGGGAAAAGAAAAGCGGTCTACTAGATTAAATTTTAAAAGGATTTTGTTATTTGCTATACAAATATACATTTCAACTTTTACAACATTCCCTCCAGTTTGACGACCTTTTCTACAGAAGAACAAGAGATCAACACTTCCAATCTCTGGCTTGAAGGACATTTTACTGATACACAAATGCCCTCTAAAAGCTTTTCCAACTCACAAAAAGTACTGAAGATGACCAAGAGCCTCAGGTGTCAGGACACATTTTCCATGTTTTCCAATAGCACACAAACTCCTTTAGGGAAAAATCATCTTAGCTGGATAAAACTATTAGCTAGTCATCTTAAGTTTATAGTAATGCTTGTGGCTAGTAGTTCACATTCTTTGGCTTCACTGTAGAAGCTTTATTTTCTTTGAACTATTGTCCTCCTTCTCCAGTCTCCACTTGCTCCAATCAGAGTTCCTCAGATGGGTCACAGAGCTACACACTTCCTGTTCCCCTTCACTGAAAGCCCTGGTCTCGTTTCTATGGCTGAGCCCCCCTTCTTGCTCATCACATTTTCTTTTACTTGTGGAAGCATCAGCACTAGCCGCTGGAAGTTCACATTGCACGTGAGGTCTGTGGTTGCTAAGAGTGGACTGCTGTATAATACTGTCAAGATCCTGGTAAGTCACAGGAAACCCTGGCTCTCCTGTAAGAGCTGTTGCTCCAGAATGCTGGGGACTATAAGATTGTGGATCCCTTAGCAACTTCCCGATAGCTTCAGAGCCCATTCTCTTAAGCAGTCGTGGATCCCGAAGTCGGTCTTGAATAGGAGGCCTTTCAGGGTCCTTTGAAGTAACAGTAACAACAGCTTCCTTGGAGTCAGTGGGACTGTGACACAGAGAAGAATAAGCTGTCTTAGTGAATCCATTGTCGAGCTTGTTGCTGGGAAACTCACCCTCAGGTCTGGACATCTCTGGGGCTACAGTAGGAGGGTGAGTCAGACTTCTCTGTAGTACAGGTTTCAGTTTCAGAATCTTCATTGCATCATGCCTATAGTTTTTGTCACAGGTCTTAATGATGGCACCACGCTTCTGAGCATCCTGAATCAGGTGATTCCAATGTTGATTTTCCTTGAAACAAACAGAAGGGAGAAACAATTATATCCCAAAGAAACACTCATATGCTTGGGAAGCACAGCATTCCAGCTTTCACTTCTGAACAAATAGTAAGCATAATTCTATAAACAGATTCTTAAGAATCCACTACTTGTTAGACAAGACCAGAAGGAAAAAATATGTCCAAATTCAGAACAAAAAAAAAAACACATCAGTAGAAAGTCACAACCTATAATAAAGGAACAAATGTCTACAATTTTTATCACTGTTAATCATGCTCGATGTCGTAAAGAGTAGCACCAGTTGCTAATAGCTCATGGAGCTAGGTAAATTAAAATAAAAAATTCAGTTCTTCATTTGCATTAGTCACATTTCAAGTGCTCAAACAGTCACATGTAGGTAGTGGTTAACACACTGGACAGCACACAGATAGAGAACATTCCAACAGTTGCAGAACGTCCCTTTGGACATTGCTAATCTACATTACTGCCTGCCTGCCTCTTAACAGGGCTATCATTCTGGAACAGGAGGGCTTGGCTTCTGAAAGTCTAAACTTTCAAATGAATATGAATCCTCTAGAAAAAAAGCCCAAAGCTGTTACCAGATTCTCAAAAGGACTCTAAAATCCCAAGGACTAAATGTCTTAATCCACTGAGATACTACTCCAGAGACAGTGTCTCACCTATCTCTCTAGCAGAGAAGCTTAAGAAAGCACATCTAAGAAAAAAACTTTATGTATCTCTCCTCTCTTCCCTTTATATTTTCCTCAACAACAGAGTGCTGCTTTTAACCCACAAGAACTTAGGCCTCTTCAGAAAGAAGAAAGAGTGAGCACAAGGGAGGAAAAATAAAAGACAAAGACTGAAGGAAAGTAAAGAAAAGAAAGGATAGCTACCCTCAAGTGAGCTCCTGCAATATTCACAGAAGTGGGTTAGGGGAGTGAGTAGTAAGGCTGCGTAGTATTTATTTGCTGTGTGACCCTGGAAAAGTCACTTAAGCTCATTAAGCCTGTTTCTTCATCTATAAAACATGAGTTAAATTTTATTTAACCAATTCTAAAATATACACTGTTTTTATATTTTATCATTTATAAATGTGGGATGCCTCTTAGCAAGACGACATTTTCTCTGTACCTATTCCTGGTCATAGGTACCATCAGAAGGGACCTACCATCAGAAGGGACCAATCCCTGGAGAAGGATATCATGCCTGATAAAGTAGAGGGTCAGCGAAAAACAGGAAGACTTTCAACAAAATGACTGACACAGTGGCTGTGACGATGGGCTCAAGTACAGCAACGATTATGAGAATGGTGCTGGACTGGATAGTATTTTGTTCTGTTGTACACAGGGTCACATTGTTCCTGGGAGAACTTATGACTAGGCCAACTACACCTCCCTTTCAGTCAATAAACCATGTAAAGAAAGACTGAGACCCAGCTCTTACCTGAAAATCTTCTATAGGCATTTTCTGATAAGAAGGCACCAGTATAAAACATGTAGAATGGCTATCAGAGGCTGGAAGAGAATCCTGTAGACAACAGTAGAGCACTCGTATGGAATGCTGAATTACCAACCCTTTAGATTGGACAGGAGCTCTGGTGTCACAATGCCTAAGGCATCTGACTGCTAACCAGAAGGCCAGTGGTTCAAATCCACCAGCCACTCCTTGGAAAAAAGATGGGGCAACCTACTTTCCTAGTGATATTGTCTTGGAAACCCAAGGAGGGGTCGCTAGGAGTTGGATTCAATTAGATGACAGTGAGTTTATTTTTTGTTTTTTTTTTAGATTGGACAGAGGACAACAGTATATGGAAAATAAGGACACTGATGACTACAAATTGGGAAATGATTAAGAAATTTTAGATTCTTAAATAAGTCTAAGAGTACTTCAAATAAACATAAAATAAAAATTTTAACTGAAAGTAAAACACTGTGTAGCAACAGTACATAGTGATGATATGTATTATAATTAATGGCCCCTTGGATTTGGTAAACTATGGTAATAATGCTGACTCCACAAGCGTTTTGTATATTGTAACTGTAGTTCTATAAATCAAATATAAGTCATGGTGATTGGCATATCCCAGATGGGCCACGTGGGCAGTACTGGACTCTGCGGCCCGGGAATTCTTTCCACTTAGGAGACCTCTATAGAGTCTCAGCCTGTCGCTCAAAAACATATGGGAAGCAGATGACCTTGTTGCTATTTTTGCCAAGACCACTGCATCTAAACTTTTGTGTTTAATCCAATCCTAAAATCATAAAAAGAGTTTTGAAAAAGGGCTATTAGTCTTGGTTTCTCAGAAGACAAGTGCTTTATTCACTGATTATATTTCCATAGGGAAAACCTGGATAAAAGGGGGAAAAAAAACCAACTTGGAAGCCCAGATGATAATTTGGGAGTTTTTATATTCTTGCTCTCATGTCTGCACCTAGAGTGCAAACAGTATCTGTCCCATCAGCTAGAGGTCAGTGGTCTTCAGATTTCTGTGTGATGTGTGTTTCACAAACTTTTAAGGGGGATGTGAAAAGTTGTGTATGGGAACCAGTTCCCAAATGTGCTGCTTCCTATGTCTTCCTTAGGCTCTTCTGTCACTGCCAGCCCATCTGTCACCATCACAACTCTCATCCATCCCAAATCTCACCATATGATGCACTGCAGGGCATGAAAAAAACTCCTGGGCACCAAATTAAGAGATGATATAAAATAGTGGTGTCTACAATGTCCCCTTTAAACAAGGAGTCACTAAGAGATGTACCTCTGATAACAATTTACTTTTCATGTTTAAATATCATTTACCAAAATTTGTAATATATTTGTTGCTTTGGTCAACCATGTATAAATAATAATTGCAATATATTAACCAATTGAGAATACTCAGACCCTTAGTGCCACTGGAAAGATAACTTTAAAAAAAATCTTTTATTTTGAGATAATCATTGATTTATAGGTTTGTTTTTTTTTTTAAAGTGCAGTGGTCCCATGTACCCTCAATTTCCCCCAACAGTTAAGAAAAACAGTTTCTTAAACTTTCGATTTATACATAAAATTTTGTGGCAAAGGAGTATACTAGCAAGATTAAAAGAAAGCCTTTTAATTACAAAATATACTACCCCACCAAATGTTATCTTAAACTAGTATGAATGGAAACACAGTATCAACAAGAAAAAAGTTAGTACTGATAACTTTCTATTCCTTTGGATACATCTAAGAGTGATGTAATAGTTTCATTCTAAAATAAATAAATTAGAAACAAATTCTTTAGCAACAAAGAAATTTAGATTTTAAATTTAAAAATAGAGAGTGCATAGCTTTGAAAAAGACTTTTAAGAAAGTACACAAACAACAAAAGTTGAAGAACACAGATCTAAGAGAAGCATTAAATGAAAAAGAGTCAGCATTTGAGTGCCCTCTGGTGGTAGTAAGCAAAATGGGGAGTAAAACCTACTAAATAGATACTGAAACTGAAAATTTATTGTCCCTGAAATAACCAGCAAACATGTGCTATCTATAGCTGTGGTATCATCAAAGTAAGCTGTACAATTTGTCTACTAAAGATACAAACATGTACACCTGCACTCTACTCTGATGGCGCTAACGGCCAAAGTGCAATGTGGAAGTGCTAAAAAGAAATCAGAGCACACTCTAACAAATATCCCATCTCTGGCATTAGGCTGGGCCAATAACAGGTGCATTTACTAAAGTGTTTACTAAATGCAGAGTAGGGTTCTAGTATGTTATATGTATAGATCTACATATGTTCCTAACAATCCTATGATATACATCTAATTAAAAAAAAAAAACAAAAAAAAACGAAGTAATCTTGAGAGTCTAGTTTAGACACTTGGGCTCAGGAAGAGGTTGCTGGAAAACGTAACAACTATGAGGAATTGGTTTATTATTTTGCAACCTAGAAATAATTTCCATTTTAATGAAATAAAAACAAAACCTCAAACCAATTAACGGTAACAATGGCACAGTGGTCTTTGGAATTCTCTGGTTCCCAAGAATGCACCTACCATCAGAGTCCTCAAATGTCCAAGGATGAAAAGGCTGTACTTGGCTCGCGTAATGGTGACATTCAATCTCTGCAAACTTGCCAGGAATCTAAGCAATAAAAGAGTTATTTCTTTCTATAGAGTGACTTAGCATATCAGTATAGGTGAGACATGGGCAGTATTTCAGATAGCTTTTCTAATGTTCCTTCTACGTAAGTTGCTCTGCTTTCTCACTCTGTCTACCAAAACAGAGTTACCTGGCATAGAAGCAATTCCCATTAAAAACTTATCAGAGACAAAAGCCCCAATGCTTTCAAAATGAACCTTCAAAGTGATGTATCTTGTTAATTTCCTATTATTTACGTGGATGAGTATTGCAAATTTTATTTTTTATCAGCATGATTTTTAAGTCTTATGAACCAGACCAATCACTTACTCTTAAATATACTGAAGATTATTACTATCCCTGGATGGTACAGTTAATGCATTTGACTAACAACCAAAGGCTTGGAGGTTTGAGGCTACCCAGACGTACCTTGAAAGAAAGGCCTGGTGACCTAGTTCTAAAAAATCAGTCATTGAAAACCCTATGGAGCACAGTTCTACTCTGACATACATGGGGTCACCATGAGTTAGAACTGACTTGATGGCAACTGGTAGTGCAGAAATACAGACAGATCAGACAAATATATCAATGATCTGAAAAAGGCTGTCAAAGAAATTGTGTATGATAAAGGTAAAATATCAAATTAGTTGGGAAAACATGTACTATTTAAAAAAAAAAAAAAAAAGGTCCTGAGCTAGTAACTTGGATCCCCATTTAAAGATGTAGTTTTGTTTCTCCCGAGAAGGAAAAGAATAAATATGTAAGAGTCACGGATTCTAAAACTCTGATTTTTTGAGTGTCAGCCACAAACAACAGCATCCTTAGCATTTTCAGTAAGTAAACTGAGAGCAGATAAGGGTAGCAAACTTAGCCAAAGTAAGAAAACAGGGAAGAAAAATCATTGCATGACACATGTCAATATAAGCTTAACATGTTCCTACAAAATCTACCCAATCCAATTATTCATTTCACTTTTATCAAATAAACTAAGAGTCACACTGTGAAAGCACATCCAACAATGGGATCTATTTCACAACTTAAAAAAAAAAAAAGATAATTACCCAAGTTTTTATGAAATAAATTTAATGATGCAAATGATGGTACCTCTAAAGTGATAGATAATGGATCTAATCCTAGATTATAAGAAAAACACAAAAGCAACAATGATGGTTACTCACCCAATTGAGCCTTGCATAGCATTTGCTCTGACACAAGTAACAATAATACAATCCTTCTGACGACCCTGGAATGCATCCACAGTATCTACTTCTGCAAGTCTATTTACAAAAACAAAAACATGTTTACTAGAAAAAGTTAGACAACTATTAAACACAGATATTTATACAATAGCATTTTAAATAAATGTACTATTTTGTAGCGATATAATCTACATAACATAAAATTCATGATTCCACAATGTACTGATCAGTAGTTTTTAGTATATTCACAGGACTGTGCAACCACCACTGTCTATGTCTAATTACAGAATATTTCCATCACCACTGTAAGAAACCCATTAGCAGTCAGTCCCTATTCCTCACCCTGACCTCTGCCCATCCCACTATTTTCTGTCTCTGGATTTGCTTATTCTGTGTACTTCATATAAATGGAATCATACACATGTGGCCTTTTGTGTCTCATTTGTTTCACTTAGCATATTGCTTTCAAGGTTCATCTAACTTGTATCATGCAACAAACAGTATAGCATTTATTTTTATGGCAGAATAATATTCCAGTATATCAATATGGATATACTATATTTTATTTAGCCATTCACCAGTTGAAACAGCTCTGGTGGTAGAGTGGTTGAAGATTTTGGCTGCCAACCAAAATGTCAGTTTGAAACCACCAGCTGTTCTGCAGGAAAAAGATGAGAAGGCAGTCTGCTTCTATGAAAATTTACAGCCTTGGAAATGCCATGGCCCAGTTCTACTCCTACAGAGTCACTATGAGTCAGAATTCCATAGCAGTATGCTTGATTTTTTGGTTTTCATCAGTTGATAGGCATTTGGGTTATTTTCTCTTTCTGGCTATTATGAATAATGCTGTAACCAATTCATGTACTAGTTTTTGTGTGAACACATTTTCCATTCTTCTGGAAGTGCCTGACCGTATATGGTCATTCTATGTGTTTAACTTCTACTTTGTAGAACTGTCGAACTTTTCTACAGCAACTCACTATTTTACATTCCCACCAGCAAGGTGTTGTTGTTGTTGTATGCCATCGAGTCGGCCCCGACTCATAGTGACCCTCCTTGGGTTTCCGAGGCAGTATCACTATGGAAGTAGGATTGCCCAACCTTCCTTCCGAGGAGTGGCTGGTGGGTTTGAACCGCCAGCCTTCTGGTTAGCAGTCAAGTGCCTTAGGCACTATGCTACCAGAGCTCCCACCAGCAAGGTAAGGGTTCCTATTTCTCAACATCCTTTTTTTTTTTTTTTCTTTTTTTAAATTAAAGCCATCATGATGGGTGTAAAGTGTTTTCTCACTGATGTTGAACATCTTTTCATGTGTTTATTGGCCATTTTTGCATCTCTTTTAAAGAAATGTTATTCAAGTCCTTTGCCCAATTTTTAATTGGGTTTTATTGTTGTTTAATTGTAGGAGTTCTTTATATAGGTTGGATACCAGACCTTTATCAGATACAAGATTTGCAAATATTGTCTCCCATTCTATGGGTTTATCTTTTCACTTTTTTGGTAGTGTCTTTTGATGAACAAAATTTTTTATTTTTATCAAATCCAATTTATTTTTTCTTTAGTTGCTTGTGCTTTTGATGTTATACCTAAGAAAATTACTGCATCATCTTAGATCATGCAGATTTATACTTATGTTTCCTCCTATGGATTGTATAGTTTTGGCTCTCAGATTTAGGTCTTTGATCCATTTTGAGTTAGTTTTTTATGTATCAGGTAAGAGAGGAATCCAAATCCATCCCTCTGCATGTGGATATCCAGTTTTACCAGCACCATTTGTTGAAAAAGATTATTCTTTCCCTATTAAATAGTCTTGGCACCCTCTTTAAAATCAACTGGTCATAGGATTATTTTTGGACTCTCAATTCTATTGGTAGTATGTCTATTCTCATGCCAGTACAACGCTATCTTGTAGTTAAGTTTTGAAATTGGGAAGTGTGATTCTCCAAGTTTGTTTTACATTTCTATGTGGATTTTAGGATCAGTTTGTTCATTTCTACTTAAAAAAAACAGTTGGAATTTTAATAGAGATTGTACTGAATCTACAGATCAATTTGGGAGTATTACCATCTTATAAAGCCTGCCAATCATGAATATAACATGTTTTCTTATTTATTTAGGTCTTCTTTCTTTCAACAATATTTTGTTGTTTTCAGTGTAAAAGTCTTATACTTCTTTGGTTAAGTTTATTTCTAAGTATTTTATTCTTTTTAATGCTATTGTAAATTAAACTGTTTTCTTAATTCCATTTTCTTATTGCTCATTGTTAGTAAAAAGAAATACAAATTACTTTTGTACAATGATCTTTTGTTCTGTAACTTTGATGAACTTACTAGCTCTAAAGTGGTTTTCGTTCTTTTGAGTGGATATTTTAGGGATTTTTATATTAAGATCAGGAGCTCTGGTAGCATAGTGCCTAAGGCACTTGACTGCTAACCAAAAGACTGGTGGTTCAAACCCACCAGCCACTCCTCAGAAGGAAGATGGGGCAATCTACTTCCGTAGTGATACTGCCTTGGAAATCTAAGGAGGGGTCACTATGAGTTGGATATGACTCGATGGCAGTGAGTTTGGTTTGGTTTGGTTTTGGTTATATTAAGATCATGTCAACTATGAATAGACTTTTTTTTTTTTTTTTTACCTTTTTCTTTATAAGCTGGGTGTCTTTTATTTCTTTTTCTTGCTCAATTGCCTTGGATAAAACCTCCAACAGAATGATGAACAGAAGTACTGATCATCCTTCTTGTCCTTATCATACTAACTTACCCTTAAGTGTGATATTAAGCTTGGAGTTTTTCATGCTGTTGTTGGTTGCCATCAAGTTGATTCTGACTCATGGTGACTCCCTTTATTAGGGTAAGGAAGTTCCCTCCCATTCCTAGTTTGTTAAGGTGTTTTATTATGAAAGGATGCTAGATTCTGTTGAATACTTTTTCTATATCATCCAAAAAAACAAACCACTTCCATAAAGTAGATTCCACCTTACAGTGACCCCAGAGGACAGAGTAGAACTGTATCATAAGGTTTCCAAGTCTGTTTATCTTTATGGAAGCAAACTGCCTCATCTTTCTGCTGCAGAGCAGCTAGTGGGTTCAAACCACTGACCTTTAGCTTAGCAGCTGAATGCTTTAACCACTGAAACATCAGGGCTCCTTATATCATCAATAGATATGATCATGTAGCTTCTCCCTTTTATTCTGTATTAATAGGGAACATTATACTGATTTTCAAAATCCTACTTGGTCATGGTGTATAACCTTTCTTATCTTCTGGATTCAATTTGCCAATAGTTTTGTTGAGGACTTTTCCATTTATACTTGTAAGGGATACTGGTCTGTAGTCTTCTTAGGTGTTTTTTGTCTGGCTTTGGTGTCAGGGTAATACTGGGCTCAGAATGAGTTAAGAATTGTTCCCCCCTATTTTTTCAATGAGTTTGAGAAGGAGTGGTATTAATTCTTCTTTAAACATTTGGAAGAATTTACCAATGAAGCTAAGTGGGCCAGAGTTTCTCTCTGTTGGAAGTTTTCTGATTACTAATTCAATCTCTTTACTTGTTACAGATCTATTCACATTTTCTACTGCTTGAGTCAATGTTGGTACTTTGTGTGTTTCCAGGCTATAAAACTTCTGAGTTAAGAGATTTCCAAAATTTAATCTTTAATTTTACTGCTGAGATAAGCAGACAAAACACCATCTTCATTCTAACATAAGGATTAAATAATTTATTGTAAGTTAAAATGGAACTTCATGAGATTCCTTAGAATTAGAATTCAGATTAACAAGTCACAAAACTAACAGAAAAGGCCTGGAGAGTTTCTCAGTCAATTCCATTGTTAACAATGTAATGCTGATACTCCAATAGTGAGAAGGTACCATTTCTATAGGGGCTATAAGTGTCACCATCTCCCACAAAGCACAAGTCTTAGGAAGCCAGCTTCCTAGTCTCCTTATGCGTTACCTATCTTACACGGGTCGAAAGACCACTCACTAAAATTAGCTTTCCGCTTCTTTCTTTCCATACCCTCTCTCGTCTTTTTAATCCACCAGAAAAATTGGAAAAAATGCCTCACCCTTTTCTATCAAACTCTTTGTCCAAATCCTTCTGAATCATCCTCTTCTGAGCCTTGTAATGAGTTATTATGCCAATGTTTCGGAAAGTAACATCCTTTCTTTTGTCTTTAATCAGTTTAATTATTTCCATCACCAATTTTATTTCTTGAACATTAACATATGAGCTAAGTAAGATGAAAAACAAACATACATATAAAAATTAATAGTCTAATTGCAAACTTAAGTTCCACTTTGTCTTCCATCACAGTCAAAGGTAGGCAGGTCAACTTCATCCTTTATTTAGCCAGCAGTAACTCCAAGAGGCTGTTATAATGACCTTCAAATTCAAATATCATACATAAGAATAAACATAAAAATAACTGCTAATGAGATATAAAGTTGTAGAGACAACAGAGTTTGGAATCAACTGAGGTTTAGGCAGCAGTTTTCTCATCTGTTAAAGTAGGGATAATAGTAAAAACAACAGATTTAATAATGAAGATGATAATAATAAACCCCTCCAAAAAACTCCGAATCAACTGCCATCAGGTCAGATCAGACGCATAGTGACGCCACCTTGGATGGTGAAATTGACCAAACATGCAGGATGTGTTAATTATCACTGGTGACTGGAATGCAAAAGTGGGAAACAAAGAAGAATCACCAGTAGTTGGAAAATTTGGCCTTGGTGACAGAAATGATGCTGGAACTCGCATGGCAGAATTTGGCAAGACCACTGACTTATTCACTGCAAACACCTTTTCTCAACAATACAAATGATGGCTGCGTATGTGGACTTCACCAGATGAAACACACAGGAATCAGATTGACTACATCTGTGGCAAGAGGCGGTGGAAAAGCTCAACATCTTCAGCCAAACCAGGCCAGGAGCTGATTGTGGAACAGACCATCAACTGCTCATATGCAAGTTCAACGTGAAGTTAAAGGCAATTAAAACAAGTCCAAGAGAACCAAAATACGATCTTGAATATATCCCTCCTAAATTTAGAGACCATCTAAAGAACAGATTTGATGCACTGAACACCAATGACTGAAAACCAGAAGAATTGTGGCATGATATTAAGAACATCATCCATGAAGAAAGCCAGAGGTCACTACAAAGATAAGAAAAGACGACCAAAATGGATGACAGAAGAGACTCTTAAACTTGCCCTTGAGCAGAGAGTAGCTAAAGCAAATGAAGAAATGACAAGATAAAAGAGCTGAATCGAAGACTTCAAACAGCAGCTCGAGAAGACAAAACCAATTACTATAATGAAATGTGCAAAGACCTGGAGTTAGAAAACCAAAAGGGAAGAACACACTCGGCATTTCTCAAGCTGAAAGAATTGAGGAAAAAATTTAAGCCTCGAGTTGCAATACTGAGAGATTCTACAGGCAAAATATTGAATGATGCAGGAAACATCAAAAGAAGATGGAAGGAATATACAGAGTCAATGTACCAAAAAGAACTGGTTGATGTTCATCCATTTTAGGAAGTAGCTTATGATCTAGAACCAATGGTACTGAAGGAGCTAGTCGAAGCTGCAATGAAGGAATTGGTGAAGAACAAGGCTCTAGGAATTGATGGAATACCCATTGAGATACTTCAGCAAGCAGATGCCCCACTGGAGGCACTCACTTGGTTATGCCAAGAGATTTGGAAGACAGCTACCTGGCCAACTGACTGGAAGAGATCCATATTTGTATCCATTCCAAAGAAAGGTGATCCCACAGAATGTGGAAATTATCTAACAATATCATTAATATTGCACGCAAGTAAGATCTTACTGAAGATAATTCAAAAACGGTTGCAGCAGTATAATGACAGAGAACTCCCAGAGTTTCAAGCCGGATTCAGAAGAGGACGTGGAACAAGGGATATCATAGCGGTTGTCAGATGGATCTTGGCTCAAGGCAAAGAATACCAGAAAGATGTTTACTTGTGTTTTATTGACTATGCAAAGGCATTTGATTGTGTGGATCATGACAAATTACGGATAACACTGAGAAGAAAGGGAATTCCCGAACACTTGATTGTACTCATGAGGAACCTTACCTTGACCAGGAGGCTGCTGTTCAAACAGAACAAGGGGACACTACATGGCTTAAAATCAGGAAGGGAGTGTGTCAGGGTTGCATCCTTTCCCCATACTTACTCAATCTATATGCTGAGCAAATAATCTGAGAAGCTGGACTATATGAAGAAAAACATGGCATCAGGATTGGAGGAAGAATCATTAACAACCTGAGATATACTGATGACACAACTTTGCTTGCTGAAAGTGAGGATGACTTGAGGCACTTACTGATGAAGATTGAAGAATACAGTTTGCAGTATGGATTACATCTCAATATAAAGAAAACAAAAATCTTCACAACTGGACCAATAAGCAGCATCATGATAAATGGAGAAAAAATTGAGGTTGTCAAAGAATTCACATTGCTTGGTTCCACAATCAATGCTAACGGAAGCAACAGTCAGGACACTAGATGACATGTACCACTGGGCAGTTCGGCAGCAAAGAACTCTTTCAAGTATTGAGGAGCAAGGATGTCTCCTTGAGGACTAAGGTGCACCTGACATAAGCCATGATATTTTCAATTGCCTCGTATGCATGTGAGAGCTGGGCAATGAATAAGGGAGACTGAAGAAGAGTTGATGCTTTTGAGATGTGATGCTGGTGAAGAATGCGGAAGTACCATGGACTGCTAAAAGAACAGATCTGTCCTGGAAGAAATGCAACTGAAATGCTCCTTTGAAGCGAGAATGGCCAGACTTTGTCTCAACTACTTTGGTCATATTATCAGAAGGGACCATTCCCTGGAGAAGGAGGTCATGTTTGGTAAGGTGGAGGGTCAACGCAAGAGGGGAAGGCCTTCAATGAGATGGACTGACACAGTGGCTGTGACAATGGGCTCAAGTACAGCAAGGATCATGGAGCTGGCACAGGATCAGGCAGTGTTTCGTTCTGCTGTGCATGGGGTCGCTATGAGTCTGAAGTGACTCGACAGCACCTAACAACAACATCACCATGGAAGCAGACTGTCCAACCTTCATTCCGAGGAGTGGTTTATAATAATAAACAGCTAACATTAATCACCACCACTCATCTGTCAGTTTGTCACACTGTGGTGGATTCTGTGTTGCTATCACGCTGAAGCTATGCTACCAGTATTTCAAGTGCCAGCAGGATCACCTATGGTGGGTAAGTTTCAATGGAACTTCCAGACTAACACAGTCTAGGAAGTAAGGCCTGGCAATCCACTTGTGAAAATCAGCCAATGAAAACCTTAACACAACAAAAAACCAGCCAATCAAGAGCTGTAAGATGAGCCCCCAAGGCTGGAAGGCACATAATAGCTGCAACAATGGATTCAAACACACCAATGATCATGAGGGTGGTACAGGAACAGGGAATGTTTTGTTATGTTACACACAAAGCCACTGTAAGTTGGACTTGATGGCATCAGCTACAAGAACATTAAATATTTACTGTATTCTAAACCCTGAGAAAAGTGCTGTAGATGTATTAACTTCTTTAATTCCTCACCACTGCCTGAAACAAGACCAGGATCACCACCATTAGCTGTGCAGATCATGCACATATGACTGACATTACAAAAATAACATTAACAATTCTGTGACCATCTCTGGGGATTGAAGAAAGAGAACATACTCATTATCCCGTCTTTCTGAACCATCTCCGACATCAAACACAAGGTAAGGTTGAAACGGCCAGTCTGATGAACATCGATTGGTTTCAGTCAGTCTATAAAAAAGCAGCCACATTCAGAATATAAGTCTAGTTATATTTCACTATAATTGTCATTTTTGTTGGGGAGAGGGCTGGAGAAAGGAAGGGAATACAAAAAAAATTTTTTTTTATAGATTTGTATTAGTGAAAGATAAAAGAATGACTTTATTTTAGTGTTAAGGATAGTGATCTATCTAGTAATTAAAATATAACTCTTATGATTATGAGTAAGTGATATAACCTTTTGCCATCAAGTCAATTCTGACTCATAGTGATCCTATAGGACAGAGCTGAACTGCCCCATAAAGCTTCCAAGGCTATAATCTTTATGGAAGCAGATTGCCACCATCTTTCTCCCACAGAGCAGCTGGTGGGCTCAACCCCCTGGCCTTTAGGTTAGCAGCTAAGCATTTAACCACTGTGCCACCAGCACTTCTTAGTAAGTGATACAGTAAGTAGAAAAAGCAAACCACAAAACACTAAGGAAGACATTTACCTCAAGTAGACACACGCCCTGGAGAGAACAATCATGGGAGAAGGAAGGGCTGCTTATGCACAGGGAGATAGCTCAGGGTGCAGAAGAGT